TTGGTGTATTATTTAAGTAAATAAAAATTGTTAAGTGCTTTACTATAATCACTAAAAAAAAAATCAGGCTTAACTCTATTCGACAATTGAGGGCAAGAAAAAAGAAGATTGGGTAAGTACTTTATTTCTTGTTTTTTATGATTATTCTTTATTTATTATTACAAAAGTAACTAAAATCTAAAAATACATATCTTTTTTAGTTATTTAAGACTAGATTAGATAAAATAAATAATAATAATAATATAATTAAAATGATTCACAATGCACACATGCGAGCAGCTCATGGGTAATGTAATTCAAGTGATTTACAACTTTTATGGCATAGATAGTAGTTAGTCACAGTTCAAAGAGTAGTAAAAAGGGCAATAAAACAATAAAATTTAATTATGAATAGATGTATTATGTTACGAACTTAGAGCTACTTAGGATAAACAAATGTAGTTTCATGTTACAATTTGAAGTCATTCTAGAAAGAAAAAAAGAGTAATTTAGGTTTATTTAAATTTTTTTTGGTGGTTACGAGGTTGGTCGAATTGACCGATCCCATTTTGAGATAGGGTAGTGAAAATAACAAATAAACTATAAAGTTTTACTGAAAAAAAAAACGTTTGATATGCATTTAGGAGGTTTTACAGATTACACTTAGGAAATTTGAAATTTTTGAGAGGAGGAAAAGTATTTTAATTTTAACATGAAAATACTTTGCAAATGGACTATAAAAAAATACTCAATATATTCATGGACAAATCTTTATTTTTATTAAAAATACTTCACTAAACAATATGATTTTTTGTATGTGAAAGACTTGTAATGTTAACTGAAAAATTGCCAAATTTTGTGAAGATATACACACTATATTGAGTACAAAAAAGGTTGTGGTCAGTCAAATTGACCAAGCCCATATTGAGAGTTTTAAAAAACAATAGTACATAATGAATCAATTCCTGCCTAACAAAATCTAAAATGAACTTGTTGATACTTTTATGATACCAAAATAGTTTATGACATTTGTAGAATCATCCATCCTCTTCTTACAAATAGATTTATATCTCACACTTTACAAATCCATGCTAGTAATACAATCTATGTTAAATTTCTCACCTTTTTTCACCAGAAGATGTGGATTTCAAACACTGTAGTTCAACAACACTTCCACTATGCTTGGTACAAAGTGATGGCAAAATACTATGAATAAAAGAGTTTTATATGAGACAAAAAATTCAAAGAAACAATTACTTAAAACAAGGAGCTGTATAAATGAATTGCACATTTGCAAGTACAAGGCAGCTAGTTCATAGCCTGACCTAGATTTTTTTCCCAGACAAAACCTTTTTAAGGAGTGTACAATTTTGTAACAGAATTAAACATTCTACCTATAACTAAAAAGTTAAGTGAAAGCAAAAAAATTGCATATTTCTTTTATCCCTCTAATAGATATATTGTGGAAAAACAGAATATAAGCACAAAAATGCTTGTCAAAGAGTTTATAATTGAGATTGAACTAAATAGTATGTATGACTAATTCTCCAAATTCACAATTTCTACATGTGTACTGTGAGAAAACACTGATGGCAACTTTAATTCTGTTAACTGCAATTCCAATTAACACTACATGCAGGTATGATCAAATGTTAACATAGAAAAAACATTTAACACTTTCTGTCAGCAGAGGTAATTTTAGTCTGTAGGTATATTTTGGTGTGTGAACTTTTAAAGTTGTGACTTCCAACTCCTGAACTAGTAAATAAAACAGACAATTTACATGAAACAAGCATAGTAACATGCTATTGAGCAAATAATTCTAAACTTCTCATCTTATAACATCAGTGAAGTTTAACTGCCTTATCATTCAGATAAAGTATTTTTTTTAGTGGCCACATTAACATTCATGTGCTGAGTTGAGTTTTTGTTTTCTTATTTGCGCAGTTTAACACGAATATTTATTTCTAAACACTTATAGCAAAGACAGACCATGCATGATGACAAATGATAAATAACACGTAGATCTTAGACTAGGAATAAATACATAACTCATTCAATCTCCATAAAAGACCTCATTACATGCATCTCATGATTTTTTTTCCAAATTTCCAGAACAGTTAATAAACACTACTTATTAAAAATGTTTACTACAAAAAAAAAGAGTTGTGTGTATTTCATATAAATAACAAAATTTTCACTAAAATATATTTTGTCTCTAAAGCTTTTCTATTCCCAATATGGCAGATACTGACATTGTCTCACCTTGCATAATATTAGGCTAAGTTTTGTACTTCACATCAACCTGAAAAACAACTTCTATGTAAAGTTGTTGAAGGATAATTGTTCAGGTCTCCACGAAACCTACTACTGTTTATCATGATGTCAGAAAAACACAAAGGTCAAGAAATCTTGATACAAAATGATAATACCCTGTGACCCAGTACTACTGTTTATCTTCATTGATATTTAATTTACAAACTGATTTAGATTTCTGATAGGTTGTTTAGGCAGAGTATTCATAATGAATCTAAGTTTCAAATGGAGAGCAACTGCCTATTGTAGAAACCTACAAATGTAGAGAACGACATTTCGTAAGTCTTCCGCCTTTCGTCTTTGGGTGGAGAGAAAGAAAGAAGAATCCTTCAGAAGCGTCTCATGGACATTCCCCAAGAGGAGATCTTCGGATTCAAAGATCATATGTGGGAGACCGCACCACTACTGAACCAGGTATACTCTTAGCCCATTATGGAAAGATGTCACATATATATGGGTGGAAAGACAGAGGAGCACATCCAAGTTGGAGAGAACTATAGCAGGATAAGGATCGAAACCATATAATATTTATTAAACTCAATCCCAGAAAACATAAAATTGAGTAGGATTAAAAGGATGTGCTCTTAGATGTAGAGTGGGTAGTGTACGACAAACCATACATGGCCAGTTAACTACATCCAAAACCCATGCTGCTGGGAACCAACATCCATGCAGGGTAGGATGAGGATCATGTCATCAGTAAGTCAATTACAATCCAAAACCTAGCCACTGAGTACTGACATCTATGTGGGGGTAAGAAAGAGGATCATAAAGCCGGGAAGTCAACTACAATCTAAAACCCAGGCCATTATGAACCGACATCCATGTGGGTGGAGGAAAGAGGATCATACTGGCAAAAAGTCAACTATAATCCAAAACCAAGCCATCTGGTAGGGATAGGAAAGAGGATCATACTACCTTCACCTCAAGTTCATGAGACTGGGGGAATCTCATATCCCCCGACCCATGAATAAGGCATGTGGTAACAATGTGAGAAATTGATTGATCGATCTGGAAACCTGACATCAAAAATATATTTGTGTAATGTTAACCCTTCTCATTAAAACTTAAAATGACACGAACCGCTCCAAGCACAGTAACATCCTCTAAATAATAAGAACATCGAAGGATAGAGGAAGGGGAAGAACCATAGTAATCTGCAAGTACCTCCATCATGACAAACACAGCTTGGGTAATAAGAGTATATATGAGTGAGGGAATAGAGACATTTATAATAAATGTGTGAGGTCTTATGTTGATTGGTTTAGCTTTAAATCAAAAACCCAGCCACTGGGAATTGACATCCATGTGGGGATAGAATGAGGGATTCCAATCAAGAGGGTGAACTGCAATGTTACATCACAGAACACCACCACCCTACTCTCAACTGAATGGTTTTAGAATCATTTACTTATTATTTGTGATTTTCTTAACATATACAGGAGGATGCCTCTACCATCCACCACCCCAGTGGCTTTGAACTTGAAAGTAGTAAGGACTCTCAAACTCCACTAGAAGAAAAAGGGAACAAAAGTGCAGTGGAGAGTCTGGAGGAATGACAACACCTGAGAGAGTGCAATGGGTGACCATGAAACCCTATTTTGAAAAGCAGACTGATTTATTCAATACAAGGCATGGCAGGGATGGGCAGCTATCCCCTTCTTCTTTACCCATGTAGTCCATGGGTGAGTATGGTCTGGGATGGGCAAACTAATGAAGCAAACATGTCGCAAGGATAAACCTACAAGCATCTCAGCAGTGTGCATTTTTTGGCCATGGAAATCATAATATGTAAGTCAACAAGGTCTTACAGTGCAGATTTGAATGGTTAATGAATACCTTGTCAGGCACCACTCGCCACAGAGCAGGATCTAGACAATGAGTAGCAACAGACAAAAAGAACGAAAAGGGAAAAAGGCGTTGAAAATGAAGAAAAGAGAAATAAAAGATAACTTATCCAGTCAAAGTATCACTGAAGTCTGAAGAATGGCTACAGGTAGAAGACGATAACCTGAAGCTGAAGATACCACGATGCAAATAGTGAGGTATGAATGTATGAGGGGTAGTTCACATACCCGATTGATGAGTTTCCTCCAAGGGACGATGGAGAAGAGACACCAATGAAAAAGTTAGGTGTCTGATTTGATGAAAAGACACCTAGAACAAAGTATGGGAAGAAGAGGATACAAAAGAATAACCAATCGAATTAAAAGCCGAACCAAATTGGTGAACATGGAAGGAGAAAGATCACAAACAGAGGATGTCTGTCAAGGAATAAAGAGGCAAGAATGGGCACCACAGAAGGAAGACATGCAGGCAATATGACAGCAAAGAGCGCATACAAGATGAAGGTGGGAATGAAAGGAAGGGAAATCAGTGAAAAGGAGGAGTTACCCTCTTGAGCCATCAAAGTTTTGGAGAAGAAAGAGCAATCTGGATAAAGGAGAATATATGTGGAATGATATAGAGTACATGAAACATCAATGGTAAATAAATCTGACCTCTGATATCCACAGGCTAAGAAGAACAGGAAATAAGTCTTAAGATAGAGGTGAAACAATAAGCACATGGACAGTGGTTCAAATGGAAGCAAGGTAAGGCAGTGAAGGACCACATTAACCCTATTGCCCCAGGTACCCTTTACTGTGCATGACACAAGGTTTTAGTGTCTTACATTCAAAAGTTTAATGAACTACTTTTTGTTTATGTTATACCAATTAGAATAGCATAAAATCTTACCTAATAATCCATATTTTAATAATATACAAGTTTTAAATTCTTAATCATGCAAGGAAATATATACAAAAATCCTGAATTTCCACTAGTGTAACACACATGACACATTTTGTCTTAGCATCTCATCATCCCTATTTTATCTATCACCCCTCGAAAATGTACGAAATTAAATGTAAAATACTCTCTATAAAATCGTTATTGCTTAAACAGACCATAATTTTTATATCCTTCAATTTTGTTTAGTTACAGAGCTATCAAATACAAAATCCGACCCCTCCTGCCACACCCACTTGACACATCCTCTCTTTCACAATTCATTGATAGTTCTCTCTCTTACGTTTCATTATATATTACCTATAACCAATAGAAAGTCAAAGTTTTCCTCTATCAACTAGTGTATGTAAATATCAATGGTGTATTGTAAAACATTGTGTTCTGAACAGATAACCGTCAATTTCACTCTGAGTAGCAACATCGTTCCTATGGGAAAGTTAATGACTAGTTTGGATGAATTTGTAACGGCTCTTGTCACATAGTTAGAAAGCCAGGAAAATTTTTAGAAGTGAATGTCTACATTTTGCCTGTTATTAGTCTATATCCTTTGGTGTATTATTAAATTAAATAAAAATTGTTAAGTGCTTTACTATAATCACTAAAAAAAAATCAGGCTTAACTCTCCTCG